AAACAGAAACGTAAGGACTTGGGACTTGACTTGGACTCGAGCCCCTTTGCACCGTTGTGTCATCCTGTTGTTTTTTCAAAACCTTGTTCTTTAAGGCTTCACGTTCAAAACTATATGAAGTGCACGTATGACCGGTCTGCGGGGTCATTTAAGCGGTCGCTCCGGGGACCACAACCACATCTACTTACTGTCTCGTAAAAGACATTTCATGGACTGTAAGTCCAATGAAGTGGTTATGGCGCTATAACAATAAAAAAAATAAATATATATATGTATACATGTAGTCGTTTTCCTTTTGAAAATACTCTAGTTAAATTGAATTTTTCGATAAACATTGGAAACAGACCAATGAGCTCATACGACACTGGCTCCTCTGGCCCGCTGTGTGGTGATTGGGATGAATGCCGTCCATTCAAAGTGCCGAGTTATTTTTGTACCTACCTGCGCTGTTTCACGGGACGGAACAAGTTGCATTTGAGCTCATGAATAAAAATTCGTCAATGATTTCTGGGAGCTGCGACGATTAGTGGAATCACTACAGGCAACGCTGCAGTTCAGTAGGTGGTAAATTAGTTAAGAGGCGTCTCGGTATTTTACAAGCAGCGGTGATTAATGGAGGGGGGGGGGGGGGGGCTGGGACAAATATATGACCGACCCCCGTGCTGCCTCCCAAAACTCCCCTTTTTTTCTCTTTCCAACTTGTCTGCCCTAAATATCCAACACTTTCACATTCAGGGAAAAAAGACCTCATTTGATTCCATTCTGCAGAGACTTTACCTGCAGAAACTAAAAAAAAAAAAAAAAAAATCCTGGCAGACGCCAGCGTTTGGAGCCGGAGCCAGGAAAGCTGTTTTTGATTCATGTTAAATTGCACTCTCAACAAAAACCAGTATTTCTGTGCATTTTTCATCCTCGCGCTCACTTCACATTCACACACGGAGTCCTAGCATACGCAGCACACACACCCACCCACCAGACTCCGGGAGTTCAAACCCAGCGTTTGCGAACTCTCTGTATCCAGAGAAACTCCCTCATTTTCTGTGAAAATCCAGAGTCCAGTATCTATTTTGAGGGCTCTCAAAGCCATTCCCTGTACGGGCCCACCCTGTTGTGCAGAGGTGTGGACTCGAGTCACATGACTTGGACTCGAGTCAGACTCGAGTCATCAATTTGACGACTTTAGACCCGACTTGACAAAATGTAAAGAGACTTGGAACTCAACTTGGACTTTAACATCAGTGACTCGTGACTTGACTTGGACTCGAGCCCTTTGACTCGACAAGACTCGAAACCCAAAGTGATCTGTGTAAATATATTATTATTTTGTTTAAAAGGACTAGAAAGGACTCGAAACAGAAACGTAAGGACTTGGGACTTCACTTGGACTCGAGCCCTTTGACTCGACAAGACT